GTAATCTATGCAGAAATAGAAGTACAATGATGTACACCTGAAATTTTTACAATGTTATAAACCAATGTTACTGCAATAAACAAAAAATTAAAAAAATATATATATATACAGTAGAAGTCCTCTTCAGCAACCTTTACTTAAGCATCTCACTAGGATCTCCATGCATCTTCATTCTCTCCAGATAAAATATGACCCTGAAAGATGCAGGCAGGCAGGCCTCCCTCTGGGACGCACCCGCACACTTGCATTTCCACTAGTTGAAATAAAAACATACCAAGAGTCTGTTGCATTTGTTCTCATATCTGGTTGTGACAGTTATCACTGTTATTCAACGTAATTATATATTATGTAGATCAATAAGCTAGCAATTTAAAAAGAGGATTGTTGTTTCTATGAAAACTAAGGTGAATGTTTCAGGGAAACCTGATAAAGGTATTACTTTAAAAAACAGCTGCTCTCCGACTGGGGAAAGGGCACGATGAAAATCTGGAAGGAGTCTGTGCCCCGACTGTGGTTTAAGCAAGGAAGACCATGTGCGCTCCAGCAGCAGCCACACTACCTAACTCCCAGCACCGGGTAACATCGTCACCCTCTGATTTGGAGGGAACACGTTCTACGTCAATCACTCTATACCCATCTCATCATTTTCAGTGTCTAAATCACAGTCAGTTCTTGGCTACACTGTCATTTCTTTAACCAATACCCTATCGACGACCTTTTCCGATTACTTATAATTTTTCAATACTGTAAAAACATTGCAACATTTTTTGTATATATCTTTTTGTACATTTAAAAAAATTATTTCCCTAGAATAAATTCTACTTAGAGTAAAAATAGATTTTTTGCATGAAAAGATGTATACTTTTTAAAGCCTTCATATAGATAAATATGTGCATATATGTGCATTTTTTAAAATATGGGGTAGATAAACTAAAGATCCTAATGTTTTTAAAAATTGAATGGCTAAAAGTGGTACAATGATAAGCAGCAGAGTTTTCACCACCACACACAGCGTTTTATCACCGAATTTACTTAGATCTAGGTATTTTCATCTGTAAAATAAAAGGTTTAGACTAAGTTTTTAGGCCCCTCTTCTCAACCCCAATATCTCAGATTCCCTGCATTGCTATATTTTCTAGGGTGCTGGAAAGTGTATCTACTTTGTTATAAGTATGTCTCAAAAATCTATGTAAGTGGAATTTTATAAACTGGATTCATATAACCACACCAAACTACATCATTGCTTCAGAAAGTCTTTATCTCCATTTACGACTGATAACCCTGAGCTTACAAAGGTGTCTCCCTAATCTTGGGGAGGTGAGGGGACAGAAACAAATACTCTGCTAGTAACTAGGGTCTCTTCTCTCTAGTTGCAGACTAACTGCCTTTCTGTCCTTCCCAGACGACCTTCTAGAAAAGTGCTCACCTGCCATGCAGTTTTCAGCACCCTTCATTCAGGCTTCCACGCTGACCTCTCCATGGACACTGCTGCACTGTGGTCATCAGGGACCTCCTGAGGACTCTTCCGGTCTTCCTGGTCTCTCCATGACACAGGGCATCACTGGTCACTCTTCTTGGATGTCTTCTTTCTATGAGGCCACAGGCTCCTTGATTCCTTCCTAAGTCTCTGGCTCTTCCACCTCCATCCTCCTTTAACGGTCTTCTACTTATCCCTGTCTTGTCCCCACAGTTTAGCTTAAGGTTTCTCTGACATTTCTCAACTCTCTCAGCTGCCTAAATAGTTAAGTATCTTCAAACAAAATTTGAAAGAACCAACCGGTTAAGAAACGTTGAAATGCATTTTTTTATAAGGCCAGCAATGATTGGTTTTGATCATCTCTTAGTTTATCTCCCTTCTAGCCAAGTCTAGATTTCCCTATATCAGTGATTCTCAAAGCATGGCTCTGGACAAGCAGCCTCTGTTTCACCTGGGAACTTGTTCAAATGGAAAATCCTTGGGCCTCCCCTCAGACGTACTGAATCAGCAACTTGTGTTTTAGCAAGGCCTCCAGGTGATTCTGGTGCATACTAAAGTTTGAGAACCACTGCTCTGTAACACGCAGCCTTTTAAAGCCAGGCCTTGGTTTAATGACTAATAGTTAACTGATGGGTAACCAGAAATAATCAATTCTCCCTCTAAATATCTGTGTGATGTTGAATTATATCTGTAAATCCTTTACTCCTAGGGAGCTTAGGGTAAAGGAAAGGAATAAAATGCAGGATGGAAACAACAGTCCTCCCAAATTGCCTCTCACAGAAAATGACAACCCAGTATAGCTACCATAGAAATTACCTGACGCATTTTGCTACCACTGGTGATGTCCCCAGTACCTAAGGGAGAAGCACTCCCTGTCTCTGTTGCCCCAGTTAACCCTATTTGTCAGATGCACTGACTCTAACGTATGCTCCCAGTTGTTTCAAACACCTCATGTCCCAATAGGCAGGATAAGTAGCCATCAGGGAGACAGGGAAGCTGGCCAATGAAAGGGAATGAGAGGCCATCTGCTCCCTCAGTAGCTGTGCTCTGCTGGACACAGAAGGCCTGTCACCTGCTCCATTCATTCAATCATTCCTCCAGTCATCCATCCCTCTTCCCATCCATCTTTCTATCCACCTATTACCCATCCACCCTTTCACTCATCCATCCATCCACTCATTCCAGAAATATTTACTGTGTGAAATATGTGCCAGTTTAGTTTCCATCAATATCATATAAGGTTGGGCCTCATTGGAGACCACTGACCTATAACATTTTCTTTTGTTTCTCCAGTGTTTCCCAGGATGGCCCATTGGGGTACAGGAAGAAAATCTCAGATTTATATTTATTTTTTTTCCTTTTAAAAATCTCTAGTTTGAGCGTATGTTTTAGAATGAACAAAATGCACTAATACTATGCTTTGTGTGTAGTTTAAAATTGTATGCTCAAAAATATTGCAATCAGGGGCTGGCCGAGTAGCATAGTGGTGAAGCTTGCATGCTCCGCTTTGGCAGCTCGGGGTTTGCTGGTTCAGATCCCCGGCACAGACCTACACCGCTCATCAAGCCACGCTGTGGCAGCAGCCCACATGCAAAATAGAGGGAGACGGGCACAGATGTTTAGCTCAGGGCCACTCTTCCTCAAGCAAAGAGAGGAAGATTGGCAACAGGTATTAGCTCAGCAGCAATCTTGCTCACCAAAAAAAAAAAATACATATATTGCAATCAAAAAGTGTGCAAAATCCAAAGATTTTGGAGACCACTGCCGTGAAGAATAGAGTCAGAAGACTACAGAGCAATTTGGGATAGACACATGCTAGCATTTGGAGTGAAGAGCACACAGAGGCCCCAGGAGCGTGAAGCTGGGCAGCTAGAAGACGTGCCTGCAACTGAGAGCGGATGAGCCCACCTAAGTTCGATTTTATTGTCCCTGGTCACACAGGTGGTTGCTGCAAAACCAGGGGCAGAGGCAAGTCCTGCCCCAGGCTAGCTCTTGTTCCACTGTCCACACTACCCCAGAGGGGCAACTGGACTGCAGCCCGGGCTTCAGGCCAACGCAGCAGATCTTTAAGTAACCTCACTCCCTGAGAGCGTATCCTGAAACTTCATTGCACACCAGTGAAAATAAAGATTTTCAGTGCTTTCTGTTTTTATTTAATAATAATATTAATATCTTGCGTTAACATAACTTTTTATCTCATTTACATTCATATCACATTCACATTTATCTTATTCCCATTCACATTTCATTCACATCACAGTTTTCTCCCTTCTTAAAAAAAAAAAAAAAAAGATTAATTCAGGCAAACTGGATGTTTTTCCTAATACAGACACAATTTTTTTCAGCACTGTATCAATTCGTTTAAAACGTTTCCGTAATTTCCCCAAAAGGCTGAGTGAACATGTGCTATTCTTGGGTATGATACTCTCAAAGCTTTAAAGCTGTATGTTACTGTATTCTTTTACAGGCAGTGGAAGGTTGATCTTTGCCTATGTCTTCTAAAGTGTACCATTTTCAAACACCAAAAGAAGTATTCATCTTTCTCTTTTTTTTTTTTGCCTCTGTAGAATGGTTAAGATATATGCACCAACTTTTTAGGAAGTAGGCATGAGTAGACCAACATGTGAGGCAAAGAAATAAATATTCTGGCCTCATGTTTTGGCTAAAGATGCTTATCTGTAGCAGAAAATTCAGGAGAGGAGCCTGCCCTTTAATATGCAGAGAAGAGTTCTTATTCATTAAATGAATCGTTTAAACAACTTTCAACGATTTAACAAAGTCATGAGTGGACTCGGAGCAGCTGTCTGGTTTTTTTATTGAACAATCATAAACTTGTCCTTTTAAAACAAATCCTAACAGCTTATTCAGCTTACGTTCAAATACCCTCCCACACACACATTCACAACTTAGTTGCAAACTTCGAGAATAAAATATAGGCAAATAGGGAAATAATTCTTAAATAATTCTTCATCCCAAATAAAATACTTCTGCAAATATTTCCTAACAAAATCTAGTATAACAGTCCTGTTTATGCTAAGATCCTCCCAAGGGTACTCATAATTCCACTGATCAACCAAGTTTAAAGGAAAAAAACACAAAAATGAACTATTTTAAAGTTGACGTTTCCTGCTGAAAATTGACTCTTTTCCAAATCTCCTAAAAAGCATTTTCTACTTCAAATTTAAAACTCATCCAAGTCACTGCACGTACTTTTAAATAGATTCCCTCCATTGCTCATTTTTTGACATTTTATAAATCCATAGTGACTAAATTTTTCTGTTTCTCTTATGCTCGTTACTGTTAATGTTACTATAATTATTAATAATAAATTTACCATGCCTTGGATGTTTGAAAACTTCATAAAGTCACACCTTTATTTTAATCCTTTTAAACAAACAATATTACATTCATTTTCTCAAGAGGGCGATAAATATGGGTATGGAGGATGACTCGTACTAACATAATTGTTTACAAAAATATATAAATATTTACCTTCAAACCTCCCCCCCCCCCCCCCCGTGGGCAAAATACTTCCTAGCTCTCTCTCTGAGGTTGTCTTCTTTAAAGCCATTTATGGAAGTGTATGCTTGCCCTCTGCCCCAGAACCATCCTTCAGATATGGTAACCTGGGAACCACACCAGCAGCCCTTTGAAACCTGCCTCATTCAAGGCTGCTACTCAAACTCCCACAAGCTTCAAACATCCCACTTCCTTCAGGGATTGTTTTGTTTTGACCTTTCCCAAAACAAAAACAGCACAATTAAATTCTATTGAAGCTACCACAAGGAAGACCTACACGTATCACACTCTCCCACCCCCACCCCCACCTTCGCTTGCTCCTAACTCTTCCTCCATCTGGTATCCCAACACTAACGTTCACTCGAGTCAAAGAACCGTGGACTCACTGTGGTCTTCAGCTTTGGCTAGCTTTCTCTTTGGCTCACCTGTCTCCACATCAAAATTATCTAAATTGCATTTTGAGTTCTTCAATATAAACACATATTTAACAAATCTATATGCATTCAAATATTTAACAAATGTCTAAAAGTGTTCAGTCATATGCATTTTATGGATTGTTAGTAGGCTACTTTTTTGTTTTCTGGACCCGCCCTGAATCACACTTGGTCTCCAAAAATTACAGATCCATATGCTATAATCTAGACAGTTCCTAAAATGTTGGCTGTGTGTTGAATGACCATTAGAATAGAGTCCTCATTTGGAAATCCTGCCCAGGATCAGCGGGGATTTAACCATTTCATTACAGGAGACCGGGCAGCATTCTCTTTCACGAGTTCTTCTCTCACAGCATTGCCATCTCCAGAAGCCATGTCATGCTCTGAAATGAGAAGGAATACAAATCAAGTCCAAATGTTGATGACTCCAAGATCAAGTACAGTGTTGTCTTATTTTTGTATTACAATGGATTTACAATGAAATCTTCAATAGATTTAAAGAGCTGTGCTCACCCGCTATCAATTAGCACCTCCCATCTAAGATAGGATCTTCTTGAATTATGTCTCTTCATACATCTCTCATCACTTGACATTATCTTACACGTGCATTTGTCTTTTTTTTTTTTTTCTGTATTCTCTCACTCCACCACTAGAACATCAGCTCCGTGAAGGCAGGACTTTGTTTTGTTCACTGTTACAACAGTGCTGGGAACATGGCAGGCACTTAATAAATACTTAACGGTATGAGCCAATGCTGTAAGAATAGATCTCTGAGTGAGATATTTATACTATCTGGTATGGAAGAGAGATTAGCTTATTGGTGTGGCCCCAAAAGGCAGAAGGTAGACCAAAGGGCAGAATTCTTATAAAGAAAGTTTTTACTTTACATAAGAGGAGAGTTTGTAATATTTAGAATTTTTTTAAATGAAATTTTTCTGCTTCCAAAAGTCGTGAGGTGTGTTTGCTACCACAGTGCACATCCTGAAATGGAATGCTATAGGAAGATTAGCACAGCCCAGCAGATGAATGCATGTAAATTCACGAAACATTCTAGATCATACCACCCACCTCCCAAAAAAAGTTGTTTGTGAAATCCCAGTCTTGGAAAGTTTGGAAGTTCACTACAAACAAACAAACAAAAAAACAAAAACAAAAACAAATGGAGACAGGAAGCCAACTTGCCAAGAGTATTGTAGCCAACAGGTAGACAGAGAAGACAACCTCATGCAATCAGGGCATGGAAGAGACCTCCAGAAGGCCCTATGCTGACAAACCTTGGAGCCGTTTCCAAAGGCTGGGCCCAAACAGGTTTTTGCAGAGATGATGTGAAGCCCATGGCAGGACTGAGGCTCCAAACCCCCTCCTGTAAACTGTCACGCATGAAGCCCAGGAGGTCCCATGTAGACAATGCACAACCGTCTAGAAGAGATCCAGGGCAGCATCTCTACAAGATCTTTAGGATGCTCTACTCTTCATCTTGAATCTAACTAAGGTTTACCAAGATTACACTCATAATCATCTTTGTTGCTCCTTTAGCTAATGAAAGAAAACATTTTTTCCATAAATTTCTAATAAGAATCTTAATACTTAATTTGGATATAGAAATATTTTTTGTGTCCTATAATATAACTTCCACCTAGCAAAATATGTATTTCCAAGACATCTCTATAGTAGTCAAGATATTTACAGAATCTGTAAGCAATTGAGAGAGGGGGACAGGCCTGAGGGAAAGAGACTGCACACCAGTCCAGTGAGGAAAGGACCTGCTGCTGTGTGTGCAGCGGGAGGGATGGAGGTCAGACACTCAAGAGTTCTGTTATTGAGGATTATTCCCAAGGAGCTCTCATGGCCTCCCAGACATTCATCCCAAACACCAACAAAGATTCACAAGGGATTCAATTCTCTCTTGGTGGGAAAGGTTTAGGTGCAACCTTAAATGAGTGAGGGGGAATGCAAAAGTTGTTCCTTCAAAGCTCTTTTTAGCCTATGGTTTTAAGAAAGCAAAACAAGACAAAAGAAATGGCAAGTGTTTGAGGCAGCTAGCTGCACTAAGACAATAGGTTTCAAATCTGTACTAAAAGCAATCAAATCATTCAAAAAATTTTTAGGTCTCAAAAAGTAGAATGGTGGTGCCAGGGGCTGGGAGGATGTGAGGAATGGGGGTAACTACTTAGTGGTACTGGGGCTTTCTTTGGGGCTGATGAAAATGTTCTGGAAGCAGATAGAGATGGTGGATACACAACACTGTGAATGTACAAACTGCCACTGAATTGTTCACTTTAAAATGGCTAATTTTATGTTATGTGAATTTCACCTCAATAAAAAAAATTTTCAGGACATAAAACCTCAGTCTTCTTCCATTTTTCTTTTCAAGGACTATAGAGACAAGTCATAAGTATTCAAAAATGTTAATAATGATCTCAATTTGCAGATCAAATATTCACAAAGACACTCACCTAATAGGTTAAAAAAAAAAGTTTTCATTTTAAATTAATGCCTCAGGGCATAGGTACACTTAAATAATTCATTTAAAAGCACAGTATTTCCCCCTTTATCTTAATGTACTTAATTGTACCCATGTACTTAGGAAGCAAGTAAAGCTGGGAAATAAGCACATTTGCCAAATATTTCAAATCTTAATTAATTTGAAGGGCAAAGAACCAGAAACAAAAACTAAATGAAATGGGTTTGGATTGTCAACTATTTATATTGAAGGGGGAAAAATGTACGGTTTGTTAATACTAGCAGTTGCTGTGGCTACACGTTGTTTTAAATGAGCTACTTTCAATTTAATTAAGCTTTACTGTACTGGCCATATATTCAACAAGATAACAGAAAATGTGTATAGCACCATCTCACAGGCTGTGTTTCTCACATTCTAACAACCTGTGTAAAAAGTACGCATGCACTAACAAGCAGCATGTGAATATTACTACAATTTTATTCAAAGTTTAGAGATAATTCCCAAATTTCAGTCACAGATACTAGCTCTTATCCTCTCCAAAATCCATAAAAACACATGCTTGGAATTAATCCATTTAAATACTTCCATTTGGTTAAAAATAAACGTTCTATATTTTCTATCTTGGCTCTTAAACCTTGTCCAATAAATTCCTCAGAGTACTTTTTCTATGTGAAGTTGGGAGAGAAGTAGTTTTGTCTAGTACACATATAAAACAGATCACTGAAGATTTTAAAGAACTTTGTATATCTTGGTTATTATTTTATTATAGGTTTTTTGGTAATCAATCATATTTATCCACCATATAAACTGGGTAAACTTTATGAGAAATTATATCATCTTCAAAATTATTAATGAGATCTTTTTTAAAAATAGCTATATGAACCAAATTCAACAACCACCCACCTCTGCCCTGACTAAAATAAAGGAAACAAAGTCATTCAAACAACATCTTATTTTCTACTTGTCGATATTTTTTAAGTTATTCAAACTGAAAATGAGACTATTGTTCCGGTGTTCATGCTGGAATAGATTCTTACCTGTGTGAGAAACAAACCTCCTGCTGGAAGACTTGGCTACCGAAAATTGGAAGAAGGGAAATTTCAGACATTTGCCGGTCACTCTGTCACATATGCCCGACTGACAGTCGCAGGTCTCTTTGCATTCCATCCCGAAGGTGCCGTAGGGGCAATCTGAGGACAAAGGCAAGGTTGAGAGAGGGAGCTGCTTGTTGTGCATAAGGCTCCATCCTCACAGTCTCAGGATTTGAACAAAACTCATGAATCTTGACTGTCAGACAAAAACCCGACTCTCAAAAACACCCGAGCTTTGAAAGTTGAAACTTTTATTCACAAACGTGAAATCACACACAAAGACCAGGTAATGGACACCTCAGTTGTAGTGTCCCACTGTGAAGTTTAGTTGAAGACAGCTACGCATAACCAATATCCTTGAACATGTCTCAATTCTGTTTATTCTGCTTAGAGACCAACAGACAAATTCTCATAGGTTGTCTCTGTAACAGCTCAGTGAAGGTGGGCAATCGAATAGACATTTGCATCAGCTCCTCAAAGAGTTTAACAGATGTGATGCTGTCTTTGAATGCACTGCAGTATTCACAAGACAATTTACTGTTTGAAATGTATAGGAAAGGGCTTCAAATTAACCAGGGGCTAAGGGGGCTGTCATTCCAGCTCTCCATGAAGCGATCAGCCCTCAATCTGTTCCACCATTTATTAACTTCCTTATCCTTCAAAATGGCAGCACAATTTACCCAACTTCCCCAGATGCTAAGAGGATTCACTAGCAAAACCTTCTGTAAAGTTAAGATGCAATATGCTAAATGAACAAGAAAGTTGAGAATTTATTTGTATACCTACCAGAATCTGGAAGCTTTTAGAGCTTCAATATTTTCATACTTAGACTAAAATATACTATATTGACAAAAAGAGGACAAACATTTATTAAAAATGCATGGTTTTTATGACATAAACAGCACCTCAATAGACTAGACAGTCTTTCACAGCCAAGCAGACTAGATGAAGAATGTTTATTCTCTTGGCATGAGAATATTATTGTCAATGTACAATCACACATGGGTAAAGAAACAAGTTGTGAGGCATCGGAGTCTTTAGCAATCTAATATTCCACAGAACAATCAAGATAGATATGAATGAAATCTCTTTTTAAAAGAGATTTAGGATTGTTTTTTTCAGCATCCTTCAAATTGCAGAAGAGCCTGGTTTTAAACATTGACCTCTCTGCTGGAAGAATAGTCCTCGAAAGAGATCCTGAAAAAGCCTCTTGCAGAAAAGCATACAGGATTGGGATTTGACTGTGTCTCCAGTGATATTGAAAACTAAATCTTTAGCCAAAATCTCAGTGTTACTTCTACTGTCTCCCAATATACTGAATAGCGCTGGGCAGATAGTAGATGTTCAATAAATACACGTTGGCTGGCTGATTGTTATCTGGGCAACACAATGCCAAATATCTGAATATTTAGAAAACACCTGGATATGCAGCTAAAGTATACAGTTTTCATAGGAATGTTCTGTAAAAAAAGCTGAAGAGGGGAGTTTGCCTATAGCAAAACATCATGTAGAGTTGCTGAGGATCACACAGGCTCACTATTTCCAGTAGAGAGAATAATGTTCGAAACTCAACTTGCTTGCAATCTGAAGGATGCCAAAAAGAGCAATCCTGAACATGCTTTTCAAGTATATGTCATTATCAGCTACCTCAATCATTCAGTAGAACACTAGAGTACTCAAGACTCCATACGCCTTACAGCTTGTTTTTTTACCCACATCTGACTGTGCTTTTATAGTCCCATTCACAAAGGCGATTTTTATGCCAAGAGAAAAAGCAATCCACTGCATATGCTTGCTATATCATAAGGATGATTGTGTTAACCACTTCCTCCCTAATTTCCTTATTCAAAGTACTGTTTTCTTGGCTGATAAGCCCTGTAATTTACAGAAAATAACAGGTCCTATTCAGCTGAAAGAAACATACATGTTCACCAAAGAAAATGTTTGCTCAATATTCTACCTTTTATTGGCTATAAACAAAAATAAACTAAGCAAAAAATAAAATTTTCCCAATAGTTCAAGCATCGATTTCCTAACCTTTAGCTTGTTTTGTGGATTAAAAAGTGATTAATTTATAAAATATTTGTCAAAAAGGTAGGAGAATTAATGAGATTAGCTCAATACTGGATGATTATCATTTATAAAAGCATATTATTGTATTAAATACATAAAATATAAGAATTATTTTAAAATTTCCCAGTCCCTTTAATAGAAAGCGTCTTTGTATTATAAAACTGATGAATGGGGCTATAGCATATGTGTTGCATCTTAGTAATAGCTCTTAATGGTGAAATCATGAGGTATCCATATATAGAGTGTTTTTAAATCACCATTCTTTTGATTCTAAACATTTTAATCATGTTAAACATTTTAAACTACAGTCACTAAGTTTAAAATAAATTCTACAAATGCTTAACTAGATTGTTTCGCTATAATTTCAACCTAATGAAGTTTTTCTTTAAGTCTGTAAGACTGCCAACCTCATTCTTTACAGACTTCCAATTTTTTATTTTTCTTTACTGTTATTTTGCTTGTCTCACACCATCTGCTATTTTTCTAGATGATCAAAAACCTTTATAAAGTGGAATGAGGTACCCTCTTCCAAGAATGAAAGTCGCTTTTTTAGATGCCCTAAGCCCACCCTATTTCACAAAGTGCATTAGTGATCATCAGAAATACTTGATCTTGAGAGATGCCCTCCATTCTATGGATCCTTTCAAGATCAAAGAATCACTAAACCCTGGGGCTAGACACCACTCCAAGAGGTTATCTAGTGCAGACCTCTGTAATCACTAACTTGCAGAAGAGAGAGCATCTAAACCATCCACAACAGATTACCTGTCAAGTTTTTAAAGTTTTCCAGAAAAGTAAGCAACACAATCTTCCATTACAACTTTTTTTTTTTTAAATCTCCTAAACATGAGTGAAATGCTGTATTTCTTTCTGTGCTTTCCTGCACACTGGGTTTAGTTGCTATTTGCAGAGTTATCCTTCTCTCTCTCCCTATGACAACACCTGTGTGGGGCCTTGCCTCTAACCCACCTGCATTTTGCCTCTTCCTCATGAGGGGAAAAGGCTCCTCACCTCCCATGCTGGCTAAAGGCCGTCAGTGTGCCCTGGGTGGGGAGAATCAAGGGGTCACTCATTACCTTTGCAGATACCAAACTCGTCACCGAAATCGTCCTCCTCACTGTAAAACTGACACCTCAGCCCCGGGCCACACTTCACGCCATCCATGCCGGAGACTGTGCGGTAGCAAGTTTCTCCCAGCCCCGCAGCGCACACCCGGCAGCAGCCACAGTCGTCGAGGACCGTCCTCTTGCAGCGCAGGCTGCTTTTGCACACGTTACTGTCACAACGTTCAGGGCAATCCACCGCATACTTGGTGCTCCAAGCCGTCGTCAGGTGCGCAGGCACGAGGAGCGTGGCCAGCAGCAAGAGGCTCTTCATGCTTCCCTGCGGGCTCGGGCTCGGCTTCCCGTGGTGTGGTCTTCGCTGGCGGGAAGCAGCCGTCCAAAGTGGTAGCTGAGCCTCTGCCTACACGTTTATGAGTTTTATAGTACACTGGGTTGCCCGCATGCTTCCCCGTCATCAATTTCCTCAAGCCAGCAGCAGCGCTGTCCTCCTGCCAGGCTCTCTTGTTTTAGTTTATGAAATCCAGGATGAAGGCTGGATTAACAGCCGCTGCCATCCAGGAATTGAAAAGCCCAAGCTGATGTCATCTGTTATGTTTAGATGGTTGTTTTGCATGAGGACTGAAAAACTCGCTCACATCCGTCTCGAGGGCTCAAGGACGTCTGTGAAGGAAGAATAAAGAAGATTGCATACCCCCGTTCAGGACAGGAATTGTTCTGACACCGGCATATCACTTGGGGTGTAGCTTTGTCTTAGAGCCTCTGTAGTCCGGAGGAAAATGATATCCACATGAATCATCAGGACCGAAGAAGCTCCTTTAAAAAAAATAAACAAACATTTGGTATTTCCCCTCAATAAATAGCTATGAGGTCATTCGAAAGAAGAAAGAGTTATATTGTGCCTTTTCAATACTTAGAAGAAAGAAAATATTTTGACAGGGATTTTTTAAAGATCCTCTCTTCCTTCCTCCCACCCCTCTCCTCAAATGTTATTTCTAAAACAATTCGTATCACATATATCTAAGTTTATCATGGCTGTAGCTGTATTTTTAGTAAGATGTGGAACTGCCGCTGAGAATTTCCTTTAAAACCAATACAAAAAACACAAAAGAGGTAAGATGCTGCTGGCGCTGTTTCTGGGTTACTCAATTCTGGAAAAACTTATCAGTTGGACTTCTGACCGAAAACTCCCTGGAGAGAAGGCTCATCCATCACCAAGTCTGCTTGTCCAATGATTGAGCCCATTCGGAGCCCTTCCCCTCACCTCCTGGCATCTATCAGGATGAAAACCTCACTGAAAACCGCCAAACGAGGCAGGCAGCCCAAAGAAACAAACGAGCCAGCAGGGAAATCGGAACGTGGCCCAGAGAGGCAAGTCACAGAGAAGGAAAAACATTACCCATCAGGAGACAAGGTCTTCATGCTCTGGAGGATCACAGGGCCTAGGTCCCACTGGGGAAGACAGAGCAGCCCTCTAAAAATATTAACTGGACTGGGGCCTTGTTAAGCAAGGCAAGGTTTGTGGGGCAGAAAGAGCAAGGTGAGAGAGGAGAGAGGAGAGTTCTCACACCAGGCACAGGTTGGATTCCAAGCACCCCCCTCTACCTGCTCCCACGCCACTTGTCAAAATAGATACACAACCACCATCATCTAGTAAACACACAACCCAATAAAGTTCATAATTCTTGGTCTGTCACAAATTAGCTATGGGCAAGCCACAGGACCTCTCAGCCTCAGCATCTTCTGAGAATTGATGATGTAGACTAGTTGATCTCTAAAATCCTGTCCCCTCTAGAAGATGAGGCAGAGGCCATGAGATGTGCCTTGATGATTAGCCTTCAAAAGTGCAATTTTAGGAGGATGGAGGGAACAGAATCCAGACTGCAGAGGAGGTGGGAAATGAAGGCAAGAGTTTTAGCTTGGAAATTTCCCAGTTTCCATGACAATCCAATTCGAAATATTCTATGTGCGTCCCCTCAGAAGCAAACACATGCTTAGCAAATGGCACACTCTGATTTATCGTTTTCAATAGTGGATAACACTCATTCAGTGCCAAGCACCATTCTGAAGCATTTTACATGTATTAATTCACTTGCTCCTCACCACAACCTTATAAGTAGGCACTACTATCATGTCCATTTTACGAATGAGGAAACTGACTCAGAAAGAGGTTAAATAATTTGCCCAAGGTCCCCATAATGTCAGAGATCGAACTTGAACCATGTCAGTCTAATGTCAAAGCCACACACTCTTTAGCCTATTACAACACAATCACACTTCCATGACCAATGGTTCTGATGGCCTAGTTCACAATGTAGGCTGACTCTGGAAAACGTTTCTTATTTAAACTTTGCTGAACACCACTTTCTGAGGACAGAGTGGTTAACTGTAATAGTGGTTAATAATAACACCTAACCATCATAGAAATCTTACTATATGCCAGACACCATGCTAAGCACTTTATATGGATTATCACTTTTAACCTTCAAAACAATCTCAGAAGCTAGGCAGTATTCATATTCTCAACTTAGAGATGAGAAAACTGAGGCCTAGAGAGGTTAAGTAATGTGTCCAAGGTCACACAGTTAGCAAATGGTGAAGCCAGGACTCCAACTCTGAGACAGACTGTCTCTAGAGACTAGAACAAGGATTGCAAAATGAAACACATGCAGGTGCCAAACAGGTGACCCAAGTGGGTGAGGTGGTGAGCCATTCCAGGTGTAATGTGCTGGGAAGGACTGGATTTTGTCCTGAGAGTACATGGCTCTTCTAAGGGAAGCATCCACTCCTTAGGGCCGGCTAACTGCTTCCATGCAAGAGTATGAGTCCACTGTGCCCGATCTAATTTTTCTAAAGAGAAGCTGGAATCCAGAATTTTTAATGTAATACCTTAATTTTTAAATGTTGGCCAGTATTTCATTCAAACTAGAAAACATTATATGTGCCCTCATTTCTTGTGGGCTAGATCCAGTGTGTGCACCAGTTTAGTCTTGCTATAAATTTTGGATTCTGACAGTGCTAGATTCAAATCTCTGCTCTCCCACTTACTACCTAAGGGACTTGGAAACTTAGTTTAATGTCTCTAAGCCTCCATTTCCCTATGGTGTTCAATGAGGTTAATAATACCTTCTTCAGGTATCAATCCTATTGTTAGGATTGATAAGATAAGAGATGGAAAGTGTCTATCAAATAGTATACATTCAACAAATGATGGCTAGTCTTCATTTTAAAAATATAATCATCTTAGAGTTGGCAGTGAATAAATAAAAATAATAAAAGGGTAAGAACCTTCTGATCTTTTATAGGAATTTAAGGAATAAATAACAAAAGCCTTTGAATGTCAAAATTACAAGTGGTGAGGGGAAGAAGAAGAAGAGGAGCTCGTGGATAACCATCTTGCGCATTTCCAAAAATGGATAATACCTTTGGTAAATGACAACTAAATAGAAAGAAGATGTAAATTGAAGGTACCAAATCCCAATAATAGTAAACCAAAACACAACACACAGAAGAATGAAGAAAATATGCTCAACAGAGTTCATAAACGGTGGAACTAGCTCAATGCATAGTACCCAACAACTCATTTTGGGGGAACCTTCAATTCCTTCCAAGACCCAACAAAAACTCTTAGTCCCAGCACAATCCCTGTGGGATTTTTATCTAGTTGTATTTCTGTCTTTCCCAACCTTGAGCCCAGATCAACCAATCTTATGAGGAAAGTTAGCAATGACCACAAAGGGTTAGGAAATCAGAGCATGAGTAAGCAAGGGGCCAACAGCAAAAAGAAAATAAGGTGAAGGCAAAGCTGTGGATGATAAGGACATGAAGTCTACCCTGGTTGGCTTGCTCTGTGCTGGGCCTGGCAAATCTCCAACTTTGCTCTGCCTGTGCATCAGTTGTCAAATCAAAGACTGAGAAAGGCCAAGGGGAATCGCAGTAAGCTTTTCACAAATCTGAAAATGCAAGTTCAAGCTATGGTGGGTCAAATTATACCATCTCAGGATCCAAAGGATAGCACGCAGCCTTCTGCAATGGGGGACAGAGAAACAATAAAACTAAGTTAACTACTCAACCCAGTACACTCTGTTCATTTACAATACCATCGTGATATTATTTTCTTAAACTTCGTATTGTGCCAAGTAGGAAATTAACCCTAATGTGCATTGCTTTTTTGTGCTTTATTTTGCACATTATGATTGCTTGTAACCAAATACCAAGCATTTTTTCTGGATAGGCAAAGTGGGAAAGGCTCTGGAAAGGTTTCAAACCCTAATAGTCAAGTCAAATTGTACCATGCTTACTGTGCCTTCCTCACAAAACTCTTTACCAGATAGATTTGATTTAAATTGAACTCTGAAGTCAGCCTTGAAGGCGAAAATTTCCAAGGAGCAAGTAGAGAAATTTAAGTGTATCAAGACTTTGTTTCAGTTTAGTTTTAGTTTTGGTTTATTTATTTATTTATTTTCACCCCCAAAGCCCCAGTAGATAGCTGTATGTCATAGCTGCGCATCCTTCTAGTTGCTGTATGTGGGATGCGGGCCCAGCATGGCCAGAGAAGCGGTGTGTTGGTGCGCACCCGGGATCCGAACCCGGGCCGCCAGCAGCGGAGCGTGCGCACTCAACCACTAAGCCACAGGGCCGACCCTAGTTTTGGTTTTTGGTACCATCTGAAAGTCCTCCTGCTTTGACACCAGCTGATGGCAATTTCACATGTGCTGTGGGCAAAGTCTAGCACATGATAAGAACTTAATATTTAATAAACACGTAAATGTAACCAATTGTTTCCCGGAGTCATTTTCAGAGAGTAGTAAGTTAAAATGGGCACCATTGTGTTCCCCAGGGGCAGTAAAGTGAGACCCAGGTTCTTGGACAGGTTGGCCAGAGCTGCAGACCATGAGTGCTTCTTTGTAGGAATGAGGTAGAGGTTTCCAGAGACAGTAGAAGCAGCTGAGGACAGAACAGGGTCTAAGCAGAGACATTAGCCCCATCATGTCAGCTCCCGCACAGCTAACCAACTTTGTCCTCTTGACCTTCCAGCCTTGGGTCTGGCATCCACCACAAGAAAAAGTTCATGGAAGCTCCTCATGGCCAATGGACCCTGATGAAACATATCTGCCAAACGGACTGAGTTTTACAGCAGTCACAGGTCAACTGTCATAGGCCCTGAGGACTCTTCCCAGAGCCTCCTGCCCTGGGAACAGCTTGCAGGAGTTCTGAAAACAGCTCTGCCACTACCAAGTTATGCGATCTTAGGTAAGTCACATGTCACACACCTTAGACGCCCCCCATCTCTCTCTATCTCAATAATGAGTTAAGAAGACCCCCGTCCACATTTCTCTCTACATCAATAATGAATTAAGACTAAAGGGACATCCAGACTATTACTATCAGGAGTCTAAATTTCTAAATATTTACTTCATTCTTTAAAAATGATCTTATGTCTTGGAGCAAATATTTTCCCCAAAGAAATCTCTCTCCAGTTTTCTAAGTTTCGATCTTTAATAAAGACAATTTTAATGGTAAAGGAAGATTCGATGTTACAGGCAATTTTCAAAAACTACACTTGCTCAGAAGAGTAAAGTGAAGTACACCTGTTTTAGTTAGGCTTCTTGCCTGCATGGGGCCCTCTGATTTGTCTGAATGAGCAGGCGAAGGCTGTAGGCAGCTGGGAGGTAATCGCAGTTGCTTACAGCAAACAGCCCTACAAGAAAGGTGAGTGCGGGGGAGTGTGAGAAGATAAGGAGAGGATATCCACAGTGTTGGCTACAAACCTCAACCTGGCGTCTCTGAGCACCCCTCAGAGAACTCTGCCACCACACCCCTAGCTCTGGCTGCAGTGGAGTCCCCTGAGAAAGCAGACACAGAATCGGGTAGTGTTTTAACTTTGGCCAAATCGAGAAACTTCAAGTTTGGGTTCCCACTGCCAGGAATTCTTTAGAATTCTTTAGAGTGAGAAAGTCTAGACTTGGGAATATGTGAGGAGCTCTCACTACCTAGCTGTTTACTTCTCCTCTTTGCCCCCCAGTTCTGGCAGGTTCTAACGTAAGGAGTCAGGCGAGTTTTTCTAACAGCTAGCTTTTTCTCAAATCGGGATTCTAAGTCTATGAACTCATCTGTAAGAGATTCCAGCCATATGACGTCCTTCTGCCTCCAAATATGAAGCCACATTCAGAAGCACCAGGTGCTGCCCTGATACAAGACGAGAAGCAACGTGACTAGCAAAAGTAGCTCTGAACTTGGAACCAGAAGACGCGAGTTTCTGTCCCGGTTCCACCATCGGTCCTGGTGTAAGACACCAACTTCCTAATTAACATGAAGTCACTTTTTCAGCAAAACATAAAGGATAGAAACTCTGTCCCTTTCTCAAAGAGATGTTGTGAACATCAAAGGATAATAATGTAGATATGAAAACATGTTGTCAACTCTAAATTACCATACAGGTGTAAAACATTATTAGTTCTATAAGACAAATTATATCCCACAAAAGGAAATGAGCCTGTGGGCTTTCTATCTCAGGACTCACCCATTCCTCCATTCCCCTCACCTTCTGCAAGATGGTGCAATTTTTCATTCACTTAATTCACAGAATGATGGCTGGGCATCCACATTCTCGCTGAGGAAGACTCCACCACATTTTCCTGCAGCCTGCCTCACCCCATCCTGGTGTAGGATGACTAAACAGCTCACAAACTGCTCTTGTAGGCCAAAGGAGGTTTTTTTTAATCACCAGTTTCCTAAATGACTAAAGATTTAGCTTAGGCATTGGAAGTCATTTAGACATTAGAACTATCTGACATAAGAGAACTATCTGTCTTATTGCTAAGACATTTGGAATGTTCACCAGGAATTTTGGAAAGACTGGGATTTCTGATTAATACAAGAATCATAGGAAATGATTCTGCTACTTTGCTCCTCTAATAACATGGCATTTCCTTTGCCTAACCTTAAACTGACCCCTTTTATAATGTAATAAAATATTCATCAGGACCACCCTCACCAGACTCATCAGAGTTTGTCTACTGATAAAGAGCCTTGGCCTTTACATGATATGTGGGTTGAATAAATGACTGAATGTCAAAAAAGAGAAAAAGTTAAAGGTAAGGACTAGAAGAAGAGAAATAAGAGGCACAATTTCCAAGCCCCTTATTTAGAATTTTTTAGGGAATTGGCAGTTTCAGACTCACTCTCTACTCTGGTGTTGAAATATCTTGGCTCCTTTCTTTCTGGGATGTTCTCAATGAAGGGCCACATTGTGACCTTCTTTAAAAAAAAAAAAAAAAAGTCTTGCTTTCCTTTGGCTGCCATGGACTTCATGAAGTCTCCAAGGCTATAATGTGAGAGCTTAATGTACACTGAGGGTGCCTCAGTCAGGGCTCAGTGCAGTGCACATCAGGGCTCAGTTACCCAGACCATCTGCCAGAGTGTCCTGAGGAGCTTGTCAAAATGCCACAGCCGGGGATTCCAATTTGATGGGTCTGGGGTAGGCCTAGGAACCACATTTTTAACAAGTAAGCCACTTCATTGAGACAAACTCAAAAATTTGAGAAACCTCTAGATGAATGGTTTCTCCCAGTCACACCTCTTCATGTTAGCAGAATTCATAATCTTTACTGTGGAGATTTCTGATAGGAAAAGCCTATCTTTGAGGGATTGACCTAGAATTTTTAACTAAATTATGTACTTCGAATTTTTTAGCATATTTCGCTGATTCTAAGACACATAGCTTTACATGTTAACATCACTGAAGTTGGGATATGGCCATTATGATGTCATTGTCATTGCCTACAGGTGCACATCAAAACTTTCATGATGAGTGCCAGTCACTTGGGAGAGAATCTCGAAGACAACAGCGGAGCTGGCTTTTAAGAAATGCTGCATTACTGATGATCTTGATGGCCCAGGGGCCTATACTCTGTGAAAAAGACATGACATTGACATGTGATCAGAAGGACCAGACATGAATGTGGAGTCATTTAGGAATATTTTAACCAATTTATTGAATTTACATTTTCCTCTCTATGAATGTTCAAAAATTCTAAATGATAGAAATCTATGTCCCAATAAGCATAAAAGAATGCTTTCAATAAGTGTAAATAAAAATTCTAGTGATATAAAAGCATTATGTCAGAGTTTAATTGGAAGAATTATTTTTCTCACTTAATGGCATATATGATACTGATAACATCTTAGATTCAGTGAAATACAGTAGTTGTCTAAATAAATAGACCTCCTTTTATCTTTGTTGATCCATTGTCAACAGTTTGCTCAGCAGTAGAACAAATTGTTTTACCACTCTTTAATCTTCTACTAGAACTTTACATGATGAAATCAAAGACCTTGCTCTTGCAAGCTGCCTGGTAAACATCCTAACTTGATCAGACTAGAGGTATTTTAGAGTGAGATATAGGTACTGTAAAGCCCAGGTTTAATATCCCACCGTCTGGTCCAAAGTACACACACACACACACACACACACGCACATGCACACACACCCAGCTTACATTTCTAACCGTGGATCATGAGCCTATGTACACACCACCACTTCCAGACAACACGCTGAGCCTGTCTCCTTTGTAAATATATTTAGGAAGTACTCACTGAATAAAACACCAAACAATGTCTCCAAGAATGAAAGGAATCTAACAGACTTTTGGCTTTCTGTATTCAAAGTGTTCTCAAGATGGCAGATCAAAACTTCAACCGTCGTGTGGTCTAGTCTAGAAAGCCAGTCTATGAGGGATCAACAGCTATTACAAATGGATAATTTAATGAGCACTGACCCATGCTGATATTTTAGTATTAATGCCTTCATTTTACAAATTTAAAATAATGGAACTTCAAATAAGGCCATGAATGATTGCCTTTCTGATAACACATCTTGACAAAAGCCCATACTGATAACAAGAAGTTAGTATCTGATCCTTCCAGGAAATATCTGATGGGCATTTTTTAAGGAATCTGAGAAAAGACCACTTAGTAAAGCTGTTTGAAAAAGACGTAACACGTGTGGCATGCTTGCCACAATAACCTCTTCCTAATTGGTTAAAACACACACACACTCCCTATAAAAGCAACAGCAGCAACAACGAAAACCGTGAGAGATTCACTCTGTCGAACAATTCTACATGGTGAGCCTTCAAAACTGTTCCCTTGCAATTGCAAAGCCACAGAAACCTGCTGGAGGAAGACGTGCTCCTCCTTTGAGGGGCGGGACACGTCATCAGAGCACTTCACGTTCCATTAGGAGAGTCCGTTTTGCTTCAAAACACAAAGTAATGCTCTCCTGCACATACAGTCCCACTGCTAGGGCAGTTAGAATAAACAGGTAATCAAAGGCCTTCAGTACCTGAAAAGAGGAGAAATGGGTTGAAGCAATAAATGTGGTTCCAGAAAGCTCCTCAAGCCCTAAATACACCACAGCTCTGAGCTTAGAGCTAGAAAAAGTCTGATTTAAGAAGTGGTTCAGGGTGAGTTGTTCATTCAATTGCCAAAGAAACCAGAGTTAAGAAACATTTAATAACTTAGAATTTTATAATTATTTTATAACTAAATAGTTTTTTAAACTTTTATTTTTTTTAACCTTGCCCTATAGTAGCTATACAACATTAGTATTTACAGTTTAGTAAGTTACTGAATATTTCTCTTCATAGAAAACAAAAATGACCAGATTGTAGGCAAATGTGTCTACAATAGACGACAAATGTGGCCTGGGCCTCCTCCTCCAGCCACCTGCTTACCCTCCTTTCCCTTTCCATCAAAACACTGCATCCCTCGAGGCTGAGATGCCAGGGCCTGTGTGATGCCCCCACTGACCTCCTCCAGGCCACAGTGAATCCCTCAACCAACCTGGCATTTCTGCACACCCAGCACCGTCCTTCCCCTGCAGGGGGCCCTCTAGTTCCGTGAGCAGGAACCATGTTATGATCATTGTCGTGATCTTCACAATGCTTGTCTCAGGTCCTGCACATCTGAGGGGCTCAAGAAATGGCATAGCCTCTAATAAGAAATAAGCAGACTTCAGAGACAGCCTCACAAACCCCAACCCTCCAAGCGAGAGTGAACGGTACAGACTTCCCCAACCCCCAGTGTTGTCCGACCCTGCCCAGGGTCTCAAGGAGCCATGCTTTAAGGAAAGTTCTCTCACTTCACCCTCTTCTAAAATTAAAATGCTAGAAGCAGCTCTAGCATTATATCACTAGCACATTTGTGGAAAAGTTTATCAGATCACTTTACTTTCTGCCCTGTGCCTTCCACCCCCACCACCCTCTCCTGCACCAAGCTCACCACTCTCTGTGACCCCCAGCTCCTCTGTCTAGAAGTAAAGGGAGGCAAAAGAGGCAGATTTATTTCACCATATAGAGCAGCAGCTAAGAACATATGATTTGGGGTCAGATCACTTGAGTTTGAATCCTGTGTATACAACTTATTAACAGTACAAACTGAGCACAACATTTAAATCTCTAAGCCTTGATTTCCCCAGGTGCAAGAACACGTGGAAATACCTACTTCGTAGGGTTAAACTGATGCCCCAAGCCCGGTGCCTGGCAAGCAGTGAGCACTCAAAATATGCTGATAACAACATGGCTTGGGCTGGGCCTCCACGATGCCACCTCCTCCCCAGCTCTCCATGACCCTGTGATTCTTGGTCTTCTTAGAGCACCCAAGTGGATGTATGCAATGGAAAAGGAAGGGATAGAGAAGGTCCCCAGGAAGTGACAGAAGCTCAGGCTGTGTCTCGACCCACTAAATGCTTTGATCCAATATATTTAGGGGTTGGGGAGGCACGGGTGTGGATGAAGCTTAATTCATACAATAAACAGTCAGTTTAGCCCCAAACTGTTAAAGTGGTTTATTTTTGTAGACATGGCCTTGTGCACATGGAAAGAGCTCTCAGCATTGGTCCAGGGTTCTGGGGGCTCTGAGGTCTACAGAATCAAGCCTCGACCCTGAAGGTCAAGGTGGCCAGGAGTGGGTCTTATTTATAACAGTCTGATAGTTTCCAAGGGAGTGAAACAACAAGACCTTGTATGAGATGAGTCACTCGGACTTGCAGGATCAGAGAAGTCATGGAGGATCAAAGAAAAGATGAGCCTTCCAGCTCTCTGCCCCTCTGAAACCAAAAGATGCATTTCACATCTGTTCCAACTAATTTTCAGGGATTGAGTCTAGAGGAAGAGTCAACAGGAGATTTAGTTGCTATAGCCACTTGGATCCCTGACAAAGTGGGCTTCAGTGGAATAATAAAAAGCCACATTTTCCCACAACACTCTCCCCCAAACAAAATGAATGGAAATCAAAACCTTACTGAGGATGAAGGGATTAAAGACATAAGTGAGCAACTTGTACAGCAATCAGAAATAAATACGGACGTAATTGAGCAACTTGCAATGCACCACAAATAAATATTACTAATTTATTCAAAGGCACTTATGTAACTGTTTTTTTTAATGGGTACATCTATTTCGCTTTTCCTGTTTAATTCTTTGTCCCATTATGAGGTCTGCCCACCAGCTACAGGTGAGATATCACTCTGATGTTACCCATGCTGGGTCACAACACTCAGTATTCATCCCACTGATTATCTCACTTTGCAAAGCAACATAGGTGAGTATTGCACAGTCTTGGCCTCATGAGCTGGCATGCAGTTAATTAAAGGAGATGCTGGATGGAGGACGGGGAATAAGGGGACTCTCAATGTTTGCTGTGGGAGCCTTGCTGCCACCCATGCATTCCTGCCCATGTTTCTTGTAAACAAGGGCAACCGGTGAAGTAGTACACATGCACCAGATCCAACAGAGCAGAGTTCAGTAGGGAGATGGGATCAGTTTCCTCGTGGCCCACCCTAAAGCAGTGCACCGAAAGTCAAATAGAGCTAGATTTTGGGCTGCATGATTAGGAAACAGTGGCTTCCTACATGGTATAATCACAGAATGGACACAAGCGTAACATGACATGTCATTACCTCAACTCCAGCCCTATCCCACTAGCCCAGCATTCATGCTTGGGGAGAGGCTGATCTTTCCTGGCAGGATGAGGGCTTAGGACGGAGTCTTGCAGCTCTAGGATGCTACAAGCTAGCTGCAGAATTCCCCTATAAGCGTTTGTGGTTGGGGAAGCACCAGCCCCCCTCCTGGCATGACTATAGGCTGACCAGGACTGGTTTCCATAAGCACTGGGGCACCCAGGTTTCCTGGAGAGGCCATCTCTTTTCTGGGGGGCCAGTCTGCTCACCTTTAACAAGTGAACTCTTATCTCTACCAGGTGTAAGCTGCTTCATAGAGTCACAACCTGCCACCCACACTGTCCACTTGGGCCTTGTCTATGGTTAGACAAAGAAAGAATTTGGAGCTTCCCATCTGAGCACAAAGGACAGATTTCTAAGGTACTGTGTGGCTTTTCACCATTTGTACTACCCAGCCCAAATCCAATATTTGCCCTTTCCCGCCCTGCTCCCTGTCCTCTGTGGATTTCATCACCCCGACTCCCTTGCCCTCTGGCTTCTGGTTGGGTGTGGCCTATGGGAGGCACCTACAGAGGATCAGAGGAGGAGAGAGGGGCCATGGTACTTCTTCCCTACTCCTTCCCTGCTTGGGCCTGCATTTACAGCAGGGGGTACGTCCCTCTGTCCCTCCGTCCCTCCGTGCTTACAGCTCCTGTTGGGCACCCTCCTCCAAGGCTCAGCTCTCGTTGGGCTATCAGGAGCAGCAATGGCTTCCTGCTGCTGCATGTCCCTGGGTGCCTCAAGTCCTTTGCCCTGTCCACACCTCTATGAGTTCCTTCATTAAAGTCTCTTCATTTGAACGACCTGAGTCAGATTCTATTTCCTGACAGCATCTGATTGAAACAGGTGTCTTTCAGCAATAACATCCTGTGGTTCTAACACTTGTGGTCCAAGCAGACATATATGTTTTGTTGAAACAACATCCTGAAAAGAGTACATTATGGGCACCAGTAGAATGACTTCCGACTCAGATGGGTTTTGTGATGCTCTGCGAATAAGGAACTCTACATGGGCTATTTCTTTAACTCAGGACTTTAGACTATAAAAGGATCTGTTGATAATGATTGAATCCAATTATATCACATTTACTGAAGAGTTACCTTGAAAAAAACATATATAAAAACATACAGGAATACTCAAATAGTATTACTGGTGAGGCTTCAGGTATAAACTTTGTGTTCTCTAATGAATTAGAGAAAATAGAAAAATCCCTGTGGCAGACTTGTCTGAATTGTCTTTTGTCTCACTTGCATTGCCCACATTCTGATGACCCTTCTATGTATGTTCCATGTTGATCTTGTTTTGTGTCCAGGACTTGATTCTCTGTCTATAAAATGAACTTCAGCAGGCACTAAGCCTTCATTGCTAAATTACTATGGAGTCTCGGCTTCGTTCAGATGCACTTGGCAAGATGCTGCCTACTTCTGCTACGACTGCCTACTTCTTTTGTTCCTTGTTTTCCCATCAGAAGAGTAATTTTTATTTGATAAGTTAAAAGTATAGTTCAAGATGCCAATTGTTGCCAGTGGTTATTATTACTACTTTAAAACTTGAGAATGAGGAGATTTCCCCCAGAAAATTGTTTTTTAAATAAAATATAGGTTTACCACATGTTGGTTTTTGACCCAGAGATTTTACATCAATTTTTCTGACCCTTTTCTCCAAGAGGATTGGTCATTGGGATGCACATAACCTTTCTCATCACCAGTCTCTTCTCTCTCTGGATCTCTTCTGACACTTTCACAAAACAACATTCTGGGAATAAAAGTCTGAAGAACAAACAATGAAGGGTGTTCTCTACATGGAAAGCTGACTGGCCTGCTAGGAGAGTTTTCTTTCTTCCTTATGAATTATTAAAAATCTTCTCATCTTATAGAACACTTGGAGCACTTTGATTTAGATCCCACAAGGCGCATCTTGGTCTTTAGTTTGGGTTGGTCTCTGCATATTGTCAGCTGGTGCTACAACCTGCTGCCTTGGATCCTTCACAAGGACACTTTTCTAAGACTTCTGAAACTTGGTCTTACAGCAGGTGTCTGGCAGTTAGTAACACAAGGGACGTGTCACTCAGAGAAGCACCTTCTTCCTAACATCTTGCTACCCCACTGCCCAGCTTCCTATAGTCTTAGTACATATTACTTGGAAACGTGTGTGTGTTAGTGCAGTCTGTGAACTGGAAGCCCCTACTCTTCCTGGGGCCCTCACTCTTTATGTTCTTTGCTTTTTCAGAAAGGTGTTTAAAACTCATTCTAGTGAGACAAGTACTCTGATTAAAGTCCAAACTTTACAATATTTCTCTGGCCACCTCCCACACAACCTACACACACATTGGGCAGAAATACATGTGCCGTAGCACTTCTAGTGTGACAGTTTTAAACATCCCCCTGGAAGCAGCAGTGCAGGGACTTCTGGCCTATCAATTACCCAATAATATGCAAAATCAAAACATCTTTCCTAGAGCCAGCCTGTTATGTACCCAGAGTAGGTGATGCCTATGTGGTGTGACTTAATCAGAACAAGGAATAGTCTCTCCCAAACTCTCTCCATCTCCGTCACCATATCTGACAGCTCATCATTAGAGATGCTTCCTCTGAATCTTTAGAGTTTTTTTATTATTTAAGAAACATTAAGTAAAATGAGAATACACTGCAAAGTGGCAATATCTTAAAATATTCTTGAGCTATGAGATGTTGGTGGATATTTGGTGACAATAAATCCTTGCAGATGAGGACTGTTAAAAGAAATAAGAATACGAGAGTGGAGATGGAAGGCTCCCCATGGTCAACTTTACCTGCTTCAGAATTTGATCTTGACCAGTTCTAAGATTCTGGGTTTTTGGCAAATTTCAGAAAGCATAGAGAGAACTAAAAGATATATATTCAAACTTCATTTTGTTTATTAAAGGAGAAATGGGCAGAAGTGGATTTTGAAACATGATCTTTCCTGTTGACACATGTTCAAAGAATTTCTGGAGGAAATATTAAATTAAAA